GCCTTGGTTGTCTGGTACAGCATGCCAAGACGAAAAGTAAATGAAGAGGAAGCTTTCCAAATCTTTCTTTATGGATTTTGCATGCACGGACGTTGACCGGGACAATACGGAATCAACCAATTTTTACATGCCCGTTAGAAAAATGTTTTAGTTGACCAAGTCTTTTGCCCCTTTTTTCTTCCTTCAAATACCATTTTTCTTTCATCTCACACAATCAAATCCAACGACCTCAACTAAAGCTTTAACATGTTAACATACCGTTTCCAAATATCCGTCATTAACTTCTTTTATTTTATTTTATTTTATTTCAACAGTATGATACTAACGAAACCAGTGATTAGATATCGAACTAATGTTTTTTTAACGTAGGAAACATTGTTTTGTTACCTTTAAATGAACAACGTACAACCAACTTTTCACTTTCTTTTTGTGATTATATCATCAACTAACTTCTTACTTTTCTAACAAACCAAGGTTACCTTTGACAGATATTAATTTTTTAGTATACTATATCTTCTTCCCTAACGACATGACACGTGACATCACATGCACTTTGATATAGATCACTACTTTGTCATATCGTATTCTTTGGTGGAGATATACAAGGTGTCAATGAAAGTTACTTGGAATCTGTGCTCAAGTGGTTGTTGCATGATGTGATATGATTGTGAAATTCTCTGATTATTCTAAATATGTATATGGGATTAATTCTATGGAACGAGCCAACAGAAGAGTTGGAAAATGGTAAGAATCCTGTGCCAGTGGCAGAAATGGACGCACAAATGGAGTGTCATTCATCCACGTAGCCAAGGCACACAAAAAAAGAACAATTATTAGGACAAAGGATATCCTTAAAATCTGTGTATTAGTGTGATTACTATTTTTAACTTTTTTGTAGAACAATTTTAAATTTTAAATTATATATATTACTTATTTTAGAACAAACTAACTTTGTAAGATTTCTTGTCGTTTTGTTTATGACTGAGTATGCAGATAGGTAGATACCTAACTCCACCTGTTTTATTAATTGCCGACTTCATGCGCGTGCACCATGCCATCAACAATGACATGCACATGCATTATTTCTTAGACCAAAACGGAAAAATTAATACCCAATATACCAAAATATTTATATAATTAATTAGCAGCAGACTTCACCGACCTAGTTGTCTACTAAGTCTACACATTTTTCTTAATTAAAGTAAAAATTTTGGAATTTAGGGTTAATGGTAACAGTTGAAAATTATGAAGACTAAATAAAATGATACATAAATTAGGAAAGTCTGAATTAATAAAATGGAAATGGCATGCTTGTCGTGGAGCATCATTGGACGAAAATAGTTTGACCAAAGAATATGTTGCGCAAGGAGTATTTCTAGGAAGTTACGCAAGGCAAGGTCAACAAATAATTGGAATCCTCATCACAGCATCTTTCTTATCTTCGCTCTCTTTCTATGTCTCCACTCATTCAATCACCAATTAATAAAATATATAATATTTATACGAGTGAGACATTTATTCGCTAATAGATTACATATTTTGACACATATGCACCATGTCATCATGTCTATCCATAAAGTATAAATTTTCTATATATGTCATTTCATGTTAAGTATTAGTATATTTTCTTTCTGAGTGTGTTAAAGGCGTGTGAAATTGCAACTGTGATATGTTTCATGGTTAATCAGTGATGTGGTTTGACAGTAACAAAGTATGAAATGACAAAAAATACCTGAGAATGAGACGTTGATAGCCAATGAAACCTTGGTTATGCAAGTTGAGAGTGGTGATTTCGGAGAGAGTTGCTTTGTCTCTTCCGGTGAGCAAGAACACTTTGAAGCCTCGCTCAACCAAGGCGTTGAACAATGATCTGACAGCAGGATTCGCGGGACACATTCCCTTCTTAATCCATGCCTTGAATATGGTTGAGTCAAAGGGGTCGCATCTGCATATTTTATTCATTATATATGTTCCGTGAAACTCGACTAAAAAAGCAAAGGAAGAAGAGATGTGAAGATATATACCCAAATCGCCTAGCTTTGTAATAAGAAACGTTGGATATGCAAGTGTCGTCAACGTCGAGGATCCAAGCGTCCATGCCGTCGGGGGAGAGAGGAATCTGAGAGGCATAGAGCCAGATGTGTTCGACGACGAGGTTTAGGTCTAGCTCGTACTGTCCTGCACACATGTAGTTCTCAAGGTGGTGGTAGCACTGAGGTGGCACCGTTCGCCACGGACGCACATTGTTTGCCTCCACCGCCACCCTCCAACTCAGACCAAACCTCTCATTCTCCTCCCGCTCCGACTCCTCCCCACTCTTCTGCTGAGGAAGACGACCCTTTGGGCTCAACACTCTGCTTAACAGGGTTGTCAAGTACGTCAGTCCTGCAACCACTGCTTGCAGAAATTTTATCTTCAAGATCATCTTATTATGATGAGTTGGTATGCGTGAGTTCTGAGGAAATGGAAGGAAGGAGGTGAGGTTTGGTTTTGTTTGGTGTGGTTGGCATGTGGACGGTGAGTTTGAGGAAGAAAGAGCGTCACTTTTAATCACAAAAAATATGGGGCCCTCCTCGAAACTTCATGGAAATTGGAACGAAAAGCACTTTCTGCTTCTTCCTTCCATCCCTCTTGTCCATTTCCACAGCGTCAATCATTCTTAAGACATTTCTTCACTTTCCATCTCTCATCATCATATTATATTATTATCTTCCTTATTTTATTTATTTATTTTTATAAATCGAGATAGATTTTTTTATTAATATTAAATGAAATAATCAATAAATATATAAAAATAAAAAATAAAGTGACAATACTCTCGTCATCTTTCTTAAAGTCTTCATATTTTCTTTCAAATATAATAAATAAATGAGATATTCCACCAACCATATCTCATCCATAAACAATCAACTTAACTAACATATATAAGTGGCTTATATCAATCATATTTCTTGATAAATAACATATTATTCATAACTTTAAATAAACTTATCGACTTTTACAATACTCATGTTAAAATTTATAATCATAATAATAATAATAATCTATAAGTAAATAACCATGCAAAAAAAAAATCAAATTAATTGACTTATAACATTATCTTATATAAAAAGAATACATGTGATATGGGAAAAAAAAGATACCCAACTTTTCTTCCATTGGTCTTCCTTCTCTTTTTCTCAGTAGGTGTCGTTTAGAATGGAAATGTCTGTTATTTTTGTATTAATAAAGTTTTGGAATTAAGATCACAAAGTTTAAATAAATATTTCTTTTTTACCATGAGGGAATGTCAAGATGACAGAGTTTAAACTATAATTAATATGTGTTTTTTTGGTAAAAGAAAATTATATCACGTGCGATGTCATCTTGTATTTTATTATCTATAATCAAATACATTTTTCATATGGATTTAATATATTTTAAGTCAAATTTATTTTATTACGTGATAACTTTTGGTAAGGAATTATTATTACCAAATAAACATAAATAAAAAAATTAATTTCATAACTGACTAGTTCTAAATTGATTGCGTCATATCGGTGATATAATATTGCCGACTGAATTTTATTATATAATGAACTGTTTTTTATTCTTCACGTGAGTGCTTTTCTTATGAAATTACATGTATTTTTGTACATGAAAAGACAACCTTTTTTTCCAAGTTGAATACGATGATTATTGAAGTTTTGAAATAAAGACTATTCTGACTACTTCAGATTTTGACAGGGTTGGTTAATCGGTGGATCGAAATAAATCAGGTTTTAATAAAACATTGGTTTCTCTTCGTTATGTTAATAGCTTTTTAAACTAATATTTTACTTTATCGTTCTTCTATTATACTCCATATTCTACATGTATTTGATAATATAAAAAGAGAATTTTTATGGTCTTCTTAAGTCAGTCAAATTAATTAAATTAAAAGACATAGTTGCGAGTGCCTAAGTTTATAATATACCGTTGATTAAATTATGATCCATCGATAATATTTGAAAAACAAAAAGAAAAAGTGAAAGAGAATGAAAAATGATCACAATATCTGATAAAATCATCATTTAATTTTGTCTTATAAGTAGAACTTTTCCTATCAGTTGTGTGCGAGAAAAGCTTTTCTCCTTCAGTGGGAATAAATCTTAATGCACACAATTAAATACCTTATCCGCAGAATATTATCCTACCTTTACTTTTCTCATTGCCAAAAGTAAACTCTATATATATATATATATATATATATATATATATATATATATATATATATATATAGTTGATATTGTATTTGTCAATATTTTAAAATCGAACAATGAATATAAAATATAAAGGTTTAATAAAATCAAATTAAATTTAATTGAATAATATTTTTATAATATAATAAGTATATAACAAATTTATTAATAGTAACTTTTTAAAGAAATAATAATTATTATTATTATTTTCATGTCATAAATTATAATAATCAAAATTATAAACATAAAATATAATAAAGAATATAAAATGAATAATTATTAAAATATAATAAAAATAAAATAAAATATCTATTGACATAATTAATATAAGATAAAAGAATTTAAATATATTATATTCTTTATAAAAATAATATTAAAGATCTCAATAATTTTTTTTATCGATTTTATTCTACTTTTTTTAAATTAAAATTCAATTATTTAAAAATAATAGATAATTTTTAAATTAATTCTCAATTAAACCAGTTGACACTCTAGTTCCGTACGATTTTAAATGCAGTTTATTTATTATAATTTGATGGTTACGGAGAATAAAAAAAACTATACACCTAACTAATTGTGTCACAACCATAATATTAAATGCCTGACTTTGATTTTATAAGTATATGTAAAATAAAAAATAAAAAAATTAACATGTATTCAAAATGCAAACATCACAACTATAATAAATTTTGAGAAATATATTAAATAATTTTTTTAGAATATTACTATTAATCATACACTACAAAAAAAAATATGTTATTTATAGCGGTTAAAATTGTAGATTTTAGAAGTTAAAAATGTTACATATAAAATTTGTAACAATTAACACAACTGTTATATTTGTAGATGTCAAAAGCGATTTGTAACGTAATTTTTTTAAATGCTTGGTATTTATATCAAAAAACAAAAACAAAAATTTCAACAGCTTAAAAACCGCCATAAAATGCATTATTATTCTCATTTTAATTTAACATTTTGTTGTAATTCGAAATTGTTACAAATGTTATTTTTATAATTAATTTTATATTTCAACAATTAAAAACCGTTGCAAAATATATAATATTTTATAATTATTTAAAACTTATTGGAGGTTTAAAAAACCACCAAAAATTATTTAATTACTATTTTTTAATTATTTTATCAATAAATCAAAATTTTAATTATTATTTACAAATTATTTTTTAATAATTTTATAATTAATAATTAAAATACTTTTTATTTAGAATTACTTTAAAATACCACCATAAGTGTAATAATAATTTAATCATTATAATAAAATCAATAATCTAACTAAATGTATAATATATTTTTCATTTGTTTTAATGACATAAAATATTAGTTTGATTCTCACTAAAAAATGGTTAAATTTGTAGTTTTTAGATATAATTTACTTTGACAGAGTACTTAACTAAATATAATTCAATATCAATTAAGATAAAATCAAACTTCATCCTAAAAGTCCAATAAATTTCATCACATTATTCATTAATAAAGTGTATCTAACAAAATATGATGTCAATAGATCCACAAATTTCATAACATATATGTCAAACTTAATGAAAATTACTATCCAATGAGTATCCTCCTATGATATTGACATATTTCATTCACTTGCTTCATCATGTGAAATAAAAATAATATCATCTTAATATAGTTAAAAGTATATAAAAAAGATATTAAACTTCATAGAAATAATTAACAACATAATTCTATTAACACAAAATATGAAATACTTACATATAATGTCAAACTTTATGAAAATTACTATCTAAAGAAGATTCTCCTTGTGGTGTTGACATATCTTGTCCACTCTCTTCATCCTATAAAATAAAGATCATATCATGTAAGCATAATTAGAAATTATACATAAGATATTGAACTTTATACAAGGATTGAATAATATAATTTCATTTAAATCAAACTAAAGTACTTACAACTATATTACTTGTACTATCAAACATGACACCAACTAATGTGTGGGCCATTAATTATAAATTGATAGAGGACAAAAGGTCTAAAGAGTTTTGTATAAATCTAGAAAGAGCATTGTATAAATAATCTAACAGAGCACCTTCTCCTTCACTTCACTTTAGTCGCATTTCCTCTGTGTTTGTTTCCCATTCTCAAAGACACTTCACAAACACGTTTCAGTCCAATAATTTTACCATCTTCCATTATTTTATCCCAGTCAAATCTCTCGGCAATGTCATTCGGCAATTCTGCTATTTGCTCATATTTCATAGGACGCAAGCTTCCAAACTCAAAACCAAACTTCTCATGTTCAGTACCTATTCTACAAGACCACGTGAAAAAATAACCACCTACAGACATACAAGCTAGTTATCAACACAAGACAACTTAAATTTTAAACCTCCAAGAAAACTAGTGAGGTGCTATATAAACTTAACTAAAAATACAAACTCAAACGAGGAAAGAAAAATAACGAAAAAAGCCTCCTTGTGAAAAACAAACACGAAAACTAGGAAAATGGTTTTCCTCAGTCCAAATTTATCTATCACTTTAGAAAAATATTTTTCAGCTACTTTATATATTTCTTCAAAAAACCGTGTGACTGACTGTGAGCCTAGCCCATTGAGCAATACTACAGTGTTGCTGACTATTTGAGCATTGCTACAGTGTGGTGACTGTTTCAGCAGTTAAATCATTTTGATATTTTCTTTCATTAAAAATTGTCGAAACAAAGGTTTTAAATGATAGTTGTGAACTTGTGATCGTGGTTGTGGTTGCAGTTTTGTCGTGATCCTTGATATTGCAAACAATGTGGTTGTTGGCAGAGGTAATGCAGTCGCTGGACCGCAAAAACCTAGATGTTAAACCTTGGTCTAAATGAAACATATACTCTCACCATGAGTCAAAAAAGCAGTAAGGCCAACAATAGTCATATTATTGTAAACTAGATATAGTATCTATCTAGCCAGTGAGTTGAGGAACTGGATGCAGGACCAAAAACTGAGACTTATTACATTCAAAACATAAACTAATTCCAAGCAATTGTATCATTTTACAAAGGAAACTAATCATAACTATCTTAATTCTTCTACTACAGCTTCAAAGTGATAAAAACAACCTAGCATCTTGACCCAGTTGTTGTTAAGTGTATGTCCTGGGACAAAGGTGTTAAAAAAAATGCACTCTTAGGATCCTAAGTTGAAAGATTAAAAAACAAAACATGATAAAAACAAATTGAAATGCAAATTGATTTTAGAATGAGAGAGAAAGTATGCCTTCAGAAATCAAATCACTTTTCAATTTCTTTCATGCATTCCTTCGAACACCTGAAAGACAATCGAAAATCAAAACTTAGTCATTCCAAAATAGTTAATTGTCTGTCACAAGCTCTATAAATATGTCCTATAGCAATTAACAGTGACTCAATAATTCGCAATGTGGCTCGAAATACAAACAGAACAACAAAAAAATACAACGAAACAAGAAATGATATTAAAAGTTTCGTACCGAGATTAAGGAAAAACAAAGAACGGTTGAATGTAGATTGTCATGCGTCACAGAGAAGGAGAAATTAGCATATACTGTAAATTGAAGAACAAATGATAGATAAAACTCTTGTAATCTTCCATAAAAATCACAAACATGTGAAATTGAAAAGTAAAACGTAAGAAGGATTAAACCTGAATTGGTGATTGAGAGAGGATATGTGACCTTACAGTGAAGGATGAGTGTGAAAATGAAAGAAATGGTAAAGAGAGAAAGAGACGACAAAGAGAGAAAGAGAAGGTAGAAGAAAGTGAGAAAATCAAAAAAGGAAAAATGAAAATAAATAAAAATAAAATAAAAAAATTAAAATTAATTATAATTATTGTGTCGAGTTAAATTTTTTGTCATAAATTACCTTTAATTTGTACGGTTTTTATAACGGCTAAAAATAAACCTCTAATAATTAAGAAGTTTTTTTAGTGATATATAACTATTAAAAAAATATTTTTAATTCTTAAAATATCCTAACGATATTATTACAATCTTAATAATCTTAAAATTATAAAAGTTAAAAAAGTAAATTAATCAATATTTAATTAATTTAACGAATATATACAATAACATCTTATGTTTCATCATCGACCAAAGTAATAACTTGTAATTAATATATTTTCAATAAAAAATAATTCATTTACGACAAGTCTATGACATCAATTTAATTATGAAAATATATCATTAATAAATAAATGAATATATAAACGAGATATACATGGAAATCGACATGCGAGACTTGGTCAAAATTTGATTTAGTGGTCATACATAGCTTATATGAACACAAACAATTCAATTCCATTAAAAAAAATATTTTATATGAGAAGTGCTAGAAACAAATATTTATGATATAAAATTTTGGTCGGAGAAGGAGAATGAAATAAATGCATTAAGTGAGAGAATGGTGTTCTTATTTATTGTGCTTAAGAAGAAAAAAGAAGCTAGAACACGCAATTTTTTTTATTATTTCTTTTATTGTCAAGTAATTTTTTATGTAACATAAAAAAATATTAATATTAAGATATCTTCTTTTATTAAAATTTATTAGTATTATAAACAATTATATATAATTTAATTATTAGTAAATATTGTCTTTCTCATTTATTGAAACAAATAGTAAAATATATATATATATTCTTCTTATCCAAACAATATACCTTTTTACATTATTTTTCTTATATTTTTCACCATTACTACGAAAGAGACTTATAATATAAATTGTTTTATATTCTAGATTGATTGTAAATATAACTGACATAAATAAATAAAAAATGAGAATTTTAAAAATAGTTGCGACCAGAACAAATACAATTAGAATAATAATTTGTTTACAATAAATAAATTATATAAATTTTCCTAAAAGAACTTGTGTGTGAATGTGAAACATGAAATAATATTGAAGTTGAAATTATATTTGGATTATTTTATAAAATGCCTTTTCAATTCAATTGAAATTTGTTAAAAAAAAATTTATTGATTTTTGGTTTAAATTCAATTTTTATCTCAATTTCAGGAATATAAATATTTTTATCTCTACAAAAATAAGTTAATAATTAGTTAAAAACGTTGGCATGTCATGAATTAAAACAATTTCGATTATTTGTTAACGCAGAATATTATTAGTTTGTTTATTGGCAAGTTTTAAGTGATTGGTTTGTTTACACAAATTTCTTATAATTATTTTCAAGAGAAAAAAAGGAAAAATCAAAACTAATTTTCGTCATAAGATAAAATTAACTTATGTATAATTTAATGACAAAGTAAAATGAGGGTTGATCTTTCCAAAATTTGTGTAACTTATGATTTTATTTATTAAACTTAATCATATTAAATATATTTATTTATATATTTATAAATTTGATTTTTTATATTTTTTATTAATTTATTATTTATTAATAATATATTACCTGTTTTCACAAAATTCGCGTATAACCTAAAATAAAAATATATATTTTTTAAAATGTCTCAAAATAATTTTTTTATAATAATTTTTTTTAATTCTCAATATAAAGAAATTGTCTTTCCACTAAAGTAGTCTATGAAGAAAATGAATATTTGATTATAATGGAGAGTACCTAACTTTGAAGACAAGACTATATACTTAACCCTGTAATTCTTCTCTGCCACTAAATAATTGGCTATATACCCTTCCATTTTTCAATGCTTTCATATTCCTCTATCTTTACCTTTTCTTTCCTTTCCTTTTTTTCCATCTAAATAAATTAGGTTTTAGGAACTTAAAATTGAAAATTATTAGTTACTGTCCAATTTTTATTATAAGACACATTGTAGAGTAATTTGTTGATATTTTTTATAAAGTATTTTGTAATTACTATGACATTTTATATTTATCTGTAATGAATATTATGAGTATTCGTGTTTTGTATTGATGAATAATTATATATATATTTTCAAAGTATTGAATAATGAAGATAAATTTGGTATATTAGTAACATTTTTTTTAATTTTAACTAAATTCATTATTTTATTTATAGATATGATTATGCTAGAAATGTACTATATTAAGAACTAGAAAGAGTGATAAATTATTAGACTTTAAGATCTTAACAGAAAAAACTATTGGATTTTATTATCAATTAATTTAAGATCTTTACATCAATAATCAATTATTAATGTAACATTTTAAAATTTATAATTAAAATTTTTTAAATACAATATATTAAATTATAATATTTATAAATAATTTAATTATTTTTATAATAGAAATTTCTTTTATTTATTAAAAAAATATTATTATTTAAATTATTAAAATAAACAATAATTAAAAATATAATTATTTATTAAAATATATATATATATATATATATATATATATTTTTTTTTAAATAATAATAAAAAGATGGGATAAGGTTAACTTGTCTTTCAAAGAGATAAACTTGTTATAAAATGTAAGATTTAAAAAATAAATAAAAAGTAAAATAATTTTTAAGAATAAAAATGAGTTATGGTGATAGAAAAAGGAGAGAAAAGGGAAGAAAAAGAGAAGAGAAGAGAAGAAAAGAGAGAAAGAAAAAGTTCCACTCTCTATTAATAATATCATCACATCTTCATAAGTAAATATTATTATTTAAAATAATTATTAATATAAATATAAATTAATAAATAAAGACTAATACATAACTGAAGATAAAAAAAATAGGATAAATGTGTGACTAGATATAAATAAATAAATATAAAATAAGATTAATGTGTAATTGGAGATAAATAAATAAATATAAACTAGGAATAATGTGTAACTGTAGATAAATAAAATAAATATAAAATACGACTAATACATAATTAGAGATAAAATAAATAAATAAATATAATAAGATCAATGCATAACTAGAGATAAATAAATATAAAATAATATTAGTACGTAATGGGAGATAAATAAATACAAAACAGATCCAATAAGATTAATAAAATATAACACAATAAATAGAATGATGTTAGAGATACTTCACTCCACAATCATAATTAACAATAAAATGATAAATATGTCATTTCCTTATTAATTATAAATGATATATCAAAATTTTACATAATAACTAATATATTTTCTTTCTCTTTCTCTCTCTTCCCTCGCTCTCTTCTTTCTCCCTTCGCGTTCTCTCCTCCCTCTCTTATTTCTCTATTTCTCTATTCTCCTTCCCCTCTCCCAAAATTTTCACCATGATACCTTTTTTATACTCACATTTTCCATTTTGTTAGTCATTAAATGCACCTTATCTTCATTATACACATATATAATAATAATAATAATATTTTTTAATAATAATTTAATAATATATTTTTAAAATTTATATATAAATAATAATAATAATAATATTTTTTAATAATAATTTAATAATTTATTTTTTAAAATTATATATATATATATATATATATATTTTTAATAAATAATTTTTTATTATAAATTATTTAAATTATCCAAAAATATTACAATTTAATACATTGTATTTGAAAAATTTTACATGATAATTTTTGAGTTGTTTTTAATTTTCTTAAATCATCATAATTTTCTCTATGGTTTGTTAAATCATGTTAGGACCTAAAATTAAATTTTCTCCCATCTCAAATCAATATAAAGATGTTCTACATTTTCTCCCATACAATGTCTCATAGGGTGTCATACCCATGCTAGAATGAAAATTGTTGTTGTAAGTGAATTCAATTAATGGCAAGTATCGATTCCAACTACCAGAATCCTCTATTACATTCTTAATAAATCTACCATGGACTAGATGGTCCTTTTGTTAGAAATACAGGCTAAGACCAAGAGGGGGTTGAATTGATTTTGAAAGATTTTTGCAACTTTTACAAATTAACAATTCTCAAGATCAAATGAAATCAATCTTTTCTTGAAACAAAGGAAAGCAAACCCAAATACAAGAATATGATGAAGGAAAGCAACAACAACAAAATTTCTACTGGTTCACCCAAACCACAATGCTACATCTAGTTTTCAACCAAATCTAGTTGAGTTCGATTAATCAAATTCAGTTGGTTACAAGCATAAACAATCTGCCCCAAGAACCACAAACCAGTTCTTGATCTATAACTAGCAACCACAATTTCAGTTGCCCCACCAGTGTCCAAACTTCCGACACCAAGAATACAAGGAAAAAAAATGAAAGATTATAATCCTTGAAGAAACAAAATAATCAAACAGATAGTCACAAGATAAGTTTCTTCAAGAAAAAGAACAAAAGACCTCAAGAACAATTTTCTCAAAGATTTCAAAGTAGTAAAATGCGCTTTTCTCTCATA